AAATAAAACATTTAATTTTGAAACTTGTATCCAATTTTAAGGCCGAACTTACTATAATTTTACAATAATTTAAATTAAATAAAAATATTTAAGCAGTATATGCTTGATGCCAAAGTATTAAAGTCAAACCATTGAACTGGTAGAAGTTGCTGAGTATGCACCTGGAACCAGAGTTTACTGAAGTGCTAAACCAGCGTTGACAGCAGGTGCCTCTTCTACAGGTGCATAAAATACTTTCTTTGTTTATTGAATAATTAGTTCATGCAAAGTTGGGAAACCAGGTGGAAGATGAAAAAGCAGAAAATCTTGTTTTCCTCTTCCAATCTCTGAATAAAAATAAAGGTGTGAGAGGATAAGATCTAGTAGGTCTAAAACCCTGAAGGGACATGGTGACTAGAAATAGTACAATTCACTAACTACAGATATTTTCTTTGTTTCATAAATCAGTTTTAAATACAAAACGTGTTTTTATAAACTTAGGTTTCTTCTGCTGTATTCAGCATCTTTATTTAAATAACTGTTAAACTGTTTTGTGCATTTTGATTGAATTCCAACTTCCATCCAGATGCAACTTGACACACATGAATACATTAATCTAGTAAATCAAATGATCATTTGCCATTTTCTAAAATAAAGTAAAACCTTTAACATAATTTAAGAATCTGAAAAACTATATAATTGCTTAAATGTGAAAAGATAGTGTTATCCTGGTTAGTAAAAAGTTCCAAATTTAGTTTAAAGGCAAATCAACATGGCTTTTATGATTACTAACCGGTGAGAATCAATTTTCTTTAGAAAAATAAATACAAATGCAAAAGATTAAAATCAATCATTTAAATTAAGATTTCCTGCTTCCTGATTTAAATTATGGTTAAAATTGGTGATTTAAATTACTTTGATTTTAATAAATTCACCCTATTTTCTCCTCCGCCATCTGTTTGCAGATTTTAAAATTCTTACAGGAAGGTCTGATCAGGGATTTCAGTGTCGACATTTTAACACTGAAAAAAATGGCTGCACTGTATAGCATACTTTCCTCCAAAGGCCAGAAGACTCTTTATCTGAGATCTTGAGCATTTCCTCAACGTTGCATCTTTACTTCATTCTCCTAAGACTCATCAAACAGCATCATGGGACCTCAGTTTGGTTGTTAATGCCCTGATTCTGCATTTCTTTGATCTCCTTGGGAAAGTATCCATGTATTTTGTCTCCAGATGGTTTTCTTGGTAGCAGTTACTTCTACCTGGAGGGTATCAGAGGTAGGGGGCTTCCTTCTTGAGGAACAGTACTGCACATTTCACAATGATGTGGTTCTCTGAACAGACCTGATCTTTATCCCGAAAATTAATTTTTTTTCTTCAGTCTTAGAAATGGTGCTTCCCTCTTTGTCCAAAACATCGCATCCAGCAGAGATGCTTGGACATGCATTGAATGTTTATAGAGCCCTCAATATCTAGATCAATCACACACAGGCTTTTCACGAGTCCAGTGCTCTAGATATTCTCTACCATCAGGATGTAAAGAAAAGCATTGAAATTTACCATTTCAGGTGGCTGAGATGATGCATCCATGAAACCTACAAATCAGTCTGTCTCCATTAACTAACAACATAACCCTCTCTTGAAAGGGTGGCCACCTGGTTGTCCGTTCATACTTTCTCAATTTTACAACTGCATGTTCAGGTATCTATGGGTATCACCTTCAATCGGAGGGTGCTACAAGTTATCCTCTCCCAGTAGAGGAGGAGGGATTTAAACACAACTATACCCATTTTAACACACACACCCTCCCCCCCAAGGGTTGCTGCTATAAAAATGTCATTGGTTAACAGATGCATGGACCTTGTAGATGAAAGAGGATAAGAATTTTGTTCTGAGTTATAAGGCCTAGAGATCTGATGAAACTGTTCCCCCCTCAAAGTTTGGAGCTGGATTTTTCATGTAAAATAAACTGGAAAATTAAAGGCCTTGCGCATCAAAAGGGCACAAGCCCTTTTGGGCAAGTCACCTAACTACAACATATACCTGTGCCAACTCAAATATGAATATTCCTGTAGTTGTCATAAGTTCTGAACCTTCTAAATAGCTGTCTTTCCATAGTATGAAGGCAAGCAGAGTGTCACTGAAACAAGTGTAAAGGGACAGCTACTTTCCTGTCAACTTGAAGCCCCCAACTGCATCTAACTTTGAGGATGTGGTATGATTTCATATCTTAATTGAAGGCATGGATGTGCTGAATCTCTAGCATGGACCTCCTTCCTCAATTGTTCTCCATGTCTGCTGAAGGTAGGGCGAGAAGTAAGTCTTCAGGGGAGATTGAGGTTAGATATTAGGAAAAACTTTATAAGGATAGTTAAGTTCTGGAATAGGGTTTCAAGGGAGGTTGTAGAATCCCCATCATTAGAGGTGTTTAAGAACAGGTTGGACAAACACCTGTCAGGGATGGTCTAGAGGTATATTTGAGCCTGCCTCAGTAGAGGGGGCTTGACTAGATGAGCTCTTGAGGTCCCGTCCAGATTTACATTTGTGTTCTATGGTTGCTTGATCAGTATCATTTCTTGAAGTGAAATGGGTGTGAAGAGAAGGTTTTTAAAAACAATTTAAAATAGATTCTTTCAGCTGCTCATCTTTTACTGTTGAATCTTGTAATAGAGCCAGAGAACAATGAAATGACCATCAGTCTTCCAGGACAGAAAAGAGACTTTAGGGGAGACAAATTAAATAGTCTCAATGTCTCCAGTCTGTTACATGGAAACTACTCCATGCCTTTAACTTTCTTTGCCAGCCTGAGCCATTTTATTTACCAAGGGTCATGGGAGATCCATTTCTTCCTCCAGAAAAAATGTTAAGGTCCCAGTAATCCAGACAGTGTGTGTATAGACTATATGAGATTCTTATTGTACAGAACAATGATAGAGAATAGAGTCTCCTACAAATATCTTTATGGTATAGGCACCATACAAAAACCCTGTGAATTACTTGTATTGCCATAGTACCTAGGAGCCCAAGTTGCAGACAGGGATTCCATTGTGCTAAGTGCTGTACAAACACAGAACAAAGAGAGTTCCTGCTCTGAAGAGCATACAATCTTAAGTATAAGACAAGAGGCAACAGATGAATTCAGGCGTGACTGAGCACAAGTAAACAGTGTGACAATATTTGTTAGCAGGGTAGCTGTGGTCTCAGCCCAGCAGCAACCAACTATTGTCAATTTTTTTGTAGGCATCACAGCAAAGGAAGGATTTGAAGGAGGGTAATGAGTGAGTTTACAGGGAACTGCTCACAAGCACGTGGGGCAGAATGTGAAAAAGCATGAAAGTGCTTGTTTGAAAACTTAACAATCTAGTTTCTATATGATTATGTAGGAGCAAATATTGAAGAGTGCGATAAGGAGCTCAAAGTGGCTCCAGAGTTCACTAGTGTAGAAATGGCCTAGGAGACCTGCTGGCTAAAAATGTTTCCTGTGCTGTAATCTGTACCACACACAACTCTGCCTAGCAACAAGTACAGTAACTCCTTGCTTAACGTTGTAGTAATGTTCCTGAAAAATGCGACTTTAAGCGAAACAATGTTAAGTGAATCCAATTTCCCCATAAGAATTAATGTAAATAAGGGGGGGTTAGGTTCCAGGGAAACTTTTTTCACCAGACAAGACTATATATTTTTTTCACCAGACAAGACACTGTGTGTGTATATGTATGTATACACACACACTGTTTTTAAACAAACAATACTGTACACAGTAATGATGACTGTGAAGCTTGGTTGAGGTGGTGAAGTCAGAGGGTGGGATATTTCCCAGGGAATGCCTTCGTGCTAAATGATGAACTAGCACTGGGCTGAACACTCACGGGTTAACACATTGTTGTTAATGTAGCCTCACACTCTACAAGACAGCACAAATGGAGGGAGGGGAGACAGCATGGCAGACAGAAACAGAGACACACATCGTGTGTGTGTGTGTGTGTGTGTGTGAGAGATAAGTGCATTGCCCCTTTAAGGACGCTGACCCCACTCTAAGTACATTGCCTTTTTAAGTAGATCAGCAAGTTTGAGACAGCAGCTGCTGCCAGCTCCCTCCGTCCTGAGCCCTGTCATGTCCCCCCCTGCTCTATAGAGATGGGGTAAGCAGAGGGGAGGAGGGCACCCTGACATTAGCTCCCCTCTCCTGCCCCCCCCCACCCCCCCCGCACAGCAAGCAGGAGGCTCTTGGGAACAGCTCCAAGGCAGAGGGCAGGAGCAGCACATGGCAGTGGGGGGAGGGACAGCTGAATTGCCGGCAATTGGTAGCCTACTGGGAGGCTGCCGCACAGGGAACTTAGGGCAGTGGGGAGCTGAGGGGGGGCTGCTGGTCCACCCTGGTTCCAAGCCCCCACCAGCTAGCTCCAATGGGCTGCTCTTTCTGCAAGCAGTGAACAAAGCAGGCGACTGCCAACAACGTTATAAGGGAGTATTGTGCAACTTTAAACAAGCATGTTCTCTAATTGATCAGCAATGTAACAGCGAAACAAAGTTAACTAGGATGACTTTAAGTGAGGGGTTACTGTATGTGGGAAAGCTTTTGCCAGAAAAGTTGGTGGGGAGACCTTTCCCCCTGTCCATCAGAGCATCCCTTCTCAAAGGAGCCCTGGTGGAAACGTGGCTATGTAGAGGCTGGATCCTAGATATTATTCTTTGAGTGTCATTAATCTTCATGTGGGATGTAGTGTAACCACAATGGGTGGACATGATTCAGTATTTAGTAAAACTGAAAGACGTGTAATAGATAAGCCTGTGTGTGTGTGTTAAATTGCTGAAAGCATCTCATCTTTTGTTCACACAGCAATGGTAACTTACTAAAGCCAAATTGATTAATATTTAAAGTTGCTTTATAACTTCACTACATTTGTTGATCATCTTGCTACATACAGCAAACTTGTTCACTAATAGAATTTAGTCTGTTATGTATAAACTTTTTATGATAAACTATCTTAATTTTTGTTTTCATTGTTCTTTTTGCAGGCTGCTGACTTGAGTAAACCAATAGACAAAAGGATATACAAAGGAACGCAACCTACGTGTCATGACTTCAATCACTTAACAGCCACAGCAGAAAGTGTCTCTCTACTAGTGGGCTTCTCTGCAGGCCAGGTCCAACTTATAGACCCTATTAAAAAAGAAACTAGCAAATTATTTAATGAGGAAGTAAGTAGGAATCTTGATCTTTTTGCATGGAAACATGTCCTATTTTAAAAAGTTATTATGTAAGTAAGCTCAAAGATTGCCACAAAAAATACGTGAACTCTTGCACTATAAGGTGTGTTTTCACCAAAAAATCGTATAGGTTTTGTCTAGACTAGTTATGGTTGTATTGTAACTAGTTAGTTGATTGCCTGTTTACTTGAATTAACTAGCATGAATGTAAATGCTACTGTAGACACTCCACAAACATTTTGTTCAAGGGTGAACCACAGACGGAAACAAACATTTGTGTATGGTAACACGTGGTCATTGAATGGCTGCACAACTAGCATAATTGCCAAATGACTTGAATTTAGAATTTGCAATTAACTCTAGCAATCAAAAGCCTTATTCTAGACAGCCTGAAAAGAGGTCTAGCCTGGCTCAACTTGGGATTGGTGGGAGGCCCATCCCCCCCAATCCTCACTGACAGCTGTAGAGTAGGGTCTTGAAAACAGTCTCATTCCCAGTAGGGTGCTGCTTTAGACCTATCTAGTTCCTCTTCACACTTCTAGGAGCAGCTACAACTAGCTCAGGAGAGGGAAATTCTCCTTACCCTTTCCTCTTCCACTTCCTGCATCTTCTCCCCAATTCCCCTTGTCTCGCTGAGTGGGGAAAGCGTGCGTTTTCTTGGAATGCACCACTTAAAGGTGCCTTTTGGTAGAAACCAATGTACAGCAGAGTGAAGCTTCACTATGATTTTGTCTATACTAGAAAAAATGGGACCTATAATTCACCACTGGTACAGCTGCATTGGTGTGAGCTGTAGTTTAGAAAAGGCACAAGTAGCCTCTGAAATTTTATCACTTTCACATAAATTTGTTAGTTTGACATAATGGCAAACTTCTGTGACCTTGTCGGCACTTGAATTCCCATTGATAAGGTACGATTTAATCACAGAGGTCACGGCAGTCATGGATTCCGTGACTTCTAGGGCTTCAGGAGGTGAAGTGGGACTGTGCACCCCTATTCTGCAACTAGGGCTGACTGGAACCAGTACCCTGCAGCCCAAGCCCCCCAGCTTTCACTGGGGGCTGCAGCTGGGACCATGTGCCCCAGCCCTGTGGCATCCTGGGTTTGGCGGGGACTGCAGCCGGAGCTGCATGCCCAGTTTCGCGGTTGCCGGGGGCTGCAGCCGGGACCATGCACCGCAAACCTGGGGCGTCCCGTGCTTGCAGAGCCAGCCTTAGGGAAAATGGCACCCTGGGCGAACTTGCGTTTTGGTGCCCCAGCTCCTGTGGGCGAGCCCTCCCCTTGCCCCTGGCCCTCATGGGCTCCCCAGGCTCCTCACCCTCCCTTCCACCCTAACCCCTGCAAGGTGCCCCCTTCGCCCCTAATGCCTGCTTCCCCTCCTGCACCCCTAATCCCTACACCCCTTCACTCCTAACCTCTGCCCCTTCCTGTGCCCCACCCCCTGCACTGTGCCCCCTTCACCCCAACCCCTGCACCTTCCTCCTGAGCCCCTAACCTTTGCATCCCCCTCCTGCACCCACATGGGGAAACTGACCTGGATGCACAAAGCAGCTGGCATTGCTGCTCGCTCGCTCCCCCACTGGATGGCTGCTCGTCTGCCCCGCGCAGCCATAGGGGGCTGGAGGGGTGCAAAAGGAGTGATGTCGGGGCTTCCTGCATCCAGGTCACTTTCCCTGTGGGCTGTGTAAGGGGAGTGCAAGAGAGCAGCAGCTCCTGATGCCTCAGCACAGCCCAGGTGAGGAAGTGACCTGGATGCAGGCAACCCTGGTGTGTGTGTTGTGGGGACTGTGTGTTATGTTGTGTTGAGGGGAGTGTGTTTGTGCCTGAGTGCGCTGTCTCTTTAAGAAAGCACTCTGGGTCAGGAGCCTGAACTAGGTTTGTTCAGACACAAGCAGATGCCAGCAGCTCCGGACCCAGAGAGGCAGCAGCACACACAGATTCCCTCTGCCTCGTCACCCCAGCTTAGTGGAAATCGGGTACATAGGGGGGAGGGGGACACCCTGCTGCTGCGCCGCCGCTCTCCCCTCCCCCCCAGCAGAGCAGAAAGGAGGACACTCCCAGTCCGGGGCGACTCCAGGGATGAGTGGGCAGTGGAGGGGGACAGGAACAGCAGCAGCTGCACCTGTGGAGCAGGGTGGAGGAGTGGCACCCCTGCTCCAGAGGAATCACCTGGTCTAACTGCCCCCTGCAGCTCAGGTGGTCTCCTCCTCCCCTCCCC